CATTTTCGAAGAGTCTAAATCCGAGATGCAGTGACTCCTTTCCGAGAGACAAGGCCACAAATGTAGCGGAGCAACGAAGGATTACTAATCCTTGGGCTACTCCTTTTGTTCGCGTTCCGTTTTCCAGGTACAAGGTACGAGGCACGGCAATGGTCGTGCGTGAGGCCAAGGAAGATACATCTTGTATCTTGTATCTTTTCTTTTGGGAAGGAGTAAAAGTGCGTCGCGCCCACCGCAATGCAAAAGACAATGGCTCGAAGTCCAGTTCAGAATGCAGAAAGGGGCAGCGTTTTTAGGGTTAGAAGTTCCAGGATCGCCTGCTCGGTTTTACGACACCCAAGACAATCCCAGAATTCGAACAACACTCGCACTCGCATTCGCACCCTTGGCTACCTGTATCTCTGCCCCTTTAATTACGCTAGTAAAGGGTACACCCCTTTTTTCGCTAGGGAAATATAGAAACAGAGATATATTTTGGTTGTGGCATGGGTTATGGGTTGTCCTTGGGCCGTGACAACAATTCGCGGAGTCGCGGTGGGCGTGACGCCTTTATGGTGTGTTTAGATACTTTTCGCAAGCAAATTCAAAAATCGCAACAATGCCGCATGCACCCGTCTTCTGAATAGCCTTGACTTCTGCAGAGATCTTTATTATAATGTCCATATTTTACCTAATTATCAATGCGAGAGCTCAAGGACTGCCCTGGCCGTGGAACAATTTTTGCCAAGTTTTTGGCGTTTTTCGCTACGGAAATATTGTATCTTGTCTTCTTGGAAGTACTTCTGAAATTGATTTTTTTTCCCCTAGCAGTTACTCTCTCTCTCTCGCTGTCGCTGTCTCTGTCTCTGTTTTTCAGTGTTTTTGCCATGAAATCGCAAATTGCCTTTGGGTTGAGCCTTGAACCAAGGCTCCTCCATCGCAAAATGCAATGCATGAGAAAATTTGTGCTGCTTGGTAACCCCTTCCATGAGGATCCGAGAGCTATTATATGAAATTGCTCCTAGAGATGGAACCAAATGGAAAATGGTGGTGGGAAATCAATAAAAAGTGTATGTTGAGGGAAAAATCTTAAGGTTGTACTTGATTTTATGGGTATAAGAGGAGAACATTTCTAAATTATTTTTTTTTTTGAAGCTAAGTTCGGGAAAGCGAAATTTCTATATCTTAGCAGTGAAAATCTCTCAGAACTCTATCAAAAATCAATTAATTTGAATTCAGAAAGTAGTCCAATATTAGTTTTTATAAGTTTAACAAACTTTGGCAATTTTAACGATGTAACCCCTTGTTAAATTTCAAAATTTTGAAAAAATTAAATATTGGCCGGACATAGCTAGATTACCTCGGCTGTCGATGCTAATCAAGATATATGATATATGATTTTAGGGTAGCAAACGACTCTTTCAGATCTTTACAAGCTTTTGACTAAAATAATTAAAGGTGTTTCAAATATTTTATTTGTTATTTAACCGGATTTTCAAATAAACTAATCAAGTACTTAAAAATATAAATGAAAGTGCGTTGCTATTATTATTTAAATGAATATTCTTATATTAAATATTCGTGAATTAAATTATTTATAAATAAAATAATTGGATTCGCGCTTATAAAAGGAGGCAGTCAAAAAATTAACATACCAACCTTGTAAAAAATTCAATAAAAATCTAGTATAATTATCAATTCTCCGAAAACGCAAAAATCACCCTAAGAAGAATTTCCTGCAGTAGCTTGTTAATTGCAGTTCGATTTCTAGTAAAAATCAATAGATTTCCCTTAAAAGTGAAGGTCAAAAATACTTAAAATTCGCCTTAGTTTCCTCAACAAAACGTAGTTTTTAGTGGAAAAACGAAAAGGCAACCTCTGGCATATGGCCCACTAAAAAGTCATTTTAACAATTATATTGCCTATGACTTTGACATTTTTCTGCTCTAAAAAATCTAATTTTATTCGTGGAAATAGCGAAAAAAATACCATAAAATATTTAAGACAAAGAAGCAACCAAAAAAAACATTGCTAAAAACCGGGTCAGAGACCAAGTGCCGCAGAGTCAAAAACCAAGGGTCTCCGTCTCAGTCTCCCATCTTCTGCGAAATGTCTTCTTCGAGGCAAAGTTTTTATGATGCCAAAGGAGCAACAACTAAGTAAGTTGTCATTTTTCGGTTTATGATGATGATTTTTGTATATATTTTTTCCGCTATGCTCTCGTTGTTATATTTTTTACGCTCTACATTTTGACATTTTTGTAACGCGTACTCGCATTTTTTTCTTCTATTTTCTATCTTTCGCTTAGCAGGATCCGAGGACACAATGGCAGGCTACTAATGTCGGCCAGCAGGGCGAGGGTTTTTATAGTTTTTTATGGCTTTATGGTAGGAGGCAATGACTTCTTTATTGGTGCACCAGGAGGAGGAGGAGGAGGTCCAGGAAGAAGTTTTCAGGCATTTCCATCTTTTTATGGTCGAAGAATCTTTCCGTTTCCGTGAGTTTTAGCAGGAGGAGAGGATCGTATCGGATCAGATCCTGGTCTACATGCAAATATATACTCTCGGGTCGGGAACATGTGTGTATTTCCCCGTAATCCTTTTTCCAGCCATGTGTTGACAGCAATAATAATAATAATAATAATAATAATATTAGTACCAGCAAAGAGCAAGCAGGAAGTCAGTGCCATATATCACGGCTGGGAAATATTCGGTACCGGGTCTTTCATGTCTCCACTCTAGTCCACGTCCACACTCCATGCTTGTGTTTGTTGTTTATCTATTTATTTATTTATTTGCTTTCGTACACTTATGACATGATGTTAATTACCGGGGCAGGAGTACTGGAAGGGGTTCTACTTCACTTTGAAATGGAAAAGTTCGCCGACTGTTTGTCAGCTGTCAACAGCGGCGACAATTGGCCAAAACGCCAACCTCAGAGCCAGAGACTACAGAGAGAGTGAGTGGCTAAAGCTATCCGACTTTGAGTTCCCTTCCGATGTTTGAACGGATCAAAAATCCGAGAGTTATTTCCGGAGACACACGCGGCGGCGGCGTCGGCGGAGGAATAAAAAAAAACCCCGGCAGGATCAACGTCTTTGATCTTTTGGGAAAGTTTATGTTAAATTATTGTCTAAATATTGTTTAATTGGCTTTCGGGACGGCTTGTGACGAAGTGTGTCGCAATGGGCTTAGTCTTGGGACTTTCTCTCTCCAACAGAGTCCTGTGTATCCTTGTGATCCTTGGTAAAACCTGGTAAATCAATGGAAATGTTTCTTGTTTTGCCAATTCACAGGATTAGCCGCTTAGATCCATTGCGGAAATATTGTCGATGCGGCCAAGTCGACAAGTCAAAGTCATGGGAATGTACACAGGATTCGGAAGCAGGATAATGGGATTTCAATTTTACCTTTTCGCGAGGTAAAAATCCAGGCTAAATCAGACAGGATTTAATTCCGGAAGTAAGAAGTTGGCATGTGACTGGATCTAAAAATGGTTTTTAATGTAAGGAAAGTCTAACCGGAAAATGTGGGAAAATTTAATAAATATTTACGAACCCTAGGAATTGTTTTGAAGGTCCGAAAATTTTCGGAATACATTTCTTAAATTTGTGTTAAATTTAATCAAACATATTAATAATGCTTTTAAGGAAATATTTAGCTCAGAACGATTCCCTACGTTCTTTAAATGATTATAAAATTTGTATCACTTTTATGACTTTAAAATGTGTCTTAATGTAATACAAACTTTTAGAAGAAAACTACATTGGTTCTTAATATTTATTTTAATAGAATCCTTGATATTGGTAAATAATTATCATTTACTTTATTATTTCCAACACATTTTATTTAATTATAGCTGAATTATTAAATTTTACACCATATTTTCAAGGTGTTAAAAAAACTACCTCTATGTTAAAAAGGCACCTGCCAGCTCTATAATTCAGTTACAGTTTATTAAAAGATCAACCTTGTGAGTAGCATGAAGCATTTTCAATAGAAAAACTCGTTAAAGATGATCTGACAAGTGTGCCAGGTTGCACTTGAGTTTTAAAATTGTAAAAGTTATTAAATATTAAATAGAGAAACTAAAAACATTATCATTTAAACAGTTTACAGGTTAACAGCTCCAAGTTTACTTGTTTAAATGTCTAAATAGAGTTAAATATCTCAGTAGTCCTATAAATGTTTCAAACATTTCATATCTATTTCAAAGCATTCAATACTATTCTTTATGCAACAACGAAATTAAATTATTAATATATTGTTTTCAATTCCAATTTACTGCATAAATCAAATTAAACTGTTCAAAAAAAAAAACTCAATGGAATACAATAATACGACCATAAATATCTCATTAAAATGAAATACATCCCCGACTTTTTATTGATGTAAAATATGGCTGGCATATCCTGTGCCAGGAAGCAACCCTTTCTAGCCAGAAAGTCAATCGTTTCCCTCGTTCAATCTCCCACAAAATGGGAAAATTACAATTTTCCAGGCAAACGCTTTGAAGCGACTAATTGAATTGCCAGATTAAAGTGTAAAAAAAAATACTGATTTGCAATTGCAAATTAAAATTTAAGTGAAAACGAATCACAGGGCAGAGGGGAAGGAGTGGAGGAGAGAGATGCTGGCAAAGGGACAATAGATTACAATATCCTGGGGCGCAGGAGGACAGCAGGACAGCACACGATTCCGGGTGGAGAAGGCAGCTGTGCCAAGGGATATTGCATGTGGCACATGCGCCTGGGTGGGATTGGTCCAGGAGCACCATCGCCAGCACCAGCAGAAGCAGCAGCAGCAGCAGGCGGCAGGCAGCAGCAACTTCGGCAGCAGCAGCAACTACGGCAGCAGCAACAGAGGCAACACCCGGGCAACACCAACAATATCCAAGGCTTCCGCTTGTTTACGGAAAAAGCCAAAGACCCAAAAGAGATACACAGCAACAGATACAGATACAGATACAATAGCAGCTCGAACGAACAGATACTGCTGTGAAGGCAACCAATCGCAGAGCTCCGTATGGCAGCAGGTAGGCGTGGACGTATCTGCCATTTCCAAGTGCGACAACCACCCCGTCGAAAAGGCCCAGCTGCCGTTGGTCCGGACCACGTTGCTCCTCTCCATACCACCATACCCCTCTCTCCTCTGCACTTCTCGGGCGGTTCACAAAAACGGGTCCGAGCGTCACCGGTTGCAGTCAGTTATTAACGAGCGCTACTCCCGGCAGCAACACAGCAGCAGCAGCAGCAGCAGCAACAGCAGAAGCAGCAGCAGCAGCCACGTACCCTCAGCAGCACAAGTCACTCAACAAAATACAGTGAGAGAGGGAGAGAGGGATATACCAAAGAAAGAGATAGACAGAGAAGAGAGAAACACACACACACACATCATCGGTTTTCGACTCGTTTTTCCCCTGTGGTCGATATTTTCAACATTTTGAGTCGGAGAGCGGCCAACGGCAATCGAATTCAGTTTGTGTCGAGACGTTGTCGGTGGAACGTCGCAATCCATAAGAGCGCTACATCCCACAGATACAAATTTACGCAGATACGCAGATACAAGATACACAAGTGCCAAAGCAACCAAGTGCAGTTTTGACAAAGAAAATAGAAAAGATTATTATCTACCAAATATAACCAAAAATAAAAGAAAACCAGACAACAAGTGCAATGTCTTCCACATCGGCATCGCCCATCAGCAACATAACCGTGGACGACGAGCTCAACTTAAGCGGAGAACAAGGTGCGTTTTTCAACCAACAATATCTGTTAGATACTCAGAGAAAAAGATACGAACAAAAAAAAGTGAACAAATACCGACGGCTAAATGGATTATTACTTTGGATTTTTGTGTAATTTATATCACAACTAAAATTAAATATCTTTCATGTTCTAAAAGCAATTTCATTGCAAAGTTTAATGCAAAATAATTATTTAACCACAAAATATTAGCCCAACAATCAGCTCAAAATATATTTAAACTTGCCTTTAAACACCCAACTAATTTGATATAATTTTTCTCTATTAATTTATAGACTTTGCTGAGGAGGATTTCATAGTGATCAAGGAGGAGCGCGAAACGAGTCTCTCCCCAATGCTAACGCCACCGCACACGCCCACCGAGGAGCCGCTGCGGCGAGTCCATCCTGCAATCAATGAGGAGGCGGTGGCCACCCAGTTGCATATGCGACACATGGCCCACAACCAGCAACAGCAGCAGCAGCAACAACAACAGCAGCAGCAGCAGCAACATCGCCTCTGGTTGCAAATGCAACAACAGCAGGCGCAGCAACAGCAACATCCGGCTCAGTATCCAGTTTATCCCGGCAGCCCCGCCGATCCCGTGGCAGTGCATCAACAACTGGTGAACCATTGGATCCGCAATGCAGCTCTCTACCAACAGCAGCAGCAGCAGCAGCAACAGCAACAACAACAGCAGCACCCACACCACGGACACCATGGCCATCATCATGGACATCCCCATCATCCCCATCATCCACATCATCCTCATCATGTTCGTCCCTATCCCGCCGGTCTTCATGGTCTCCATGCCGCCGTAGTGGGTCGCCACTTTGGAGCAATGCCTGGCCTGAAGCTGAGTGGCTCCAGTGGAGCACCAAGTGGAGCGGGAACTGGCAGCAGTCGGCCAAAGAAGCAGTTCATCTGCAAATACTGCAACAGGCAGTTCACCAAGTCCTACAACCTCCTGATTCACGAGAGAACCCACACCGATGAGCGTCCCTACTCCTGCGACATCTGTGGCAAGGCTTTTCGGCGGCAGGATCACCTCCGGGATCACCGCTACATTCACTCCAAGGACAAGCCCTTCAAGTGCAGCGATTGCGGCAAGGGTTTCTGTCAGTCGCGAACTCTGGCCGTGCACAAGGTGACCCACTTGGAGGAGGGTCCCCACAAGTGCCCCATCTGCCAAAGGAGCTTCAATCAGAGGGCCAACCTGAAGAGTCACCTGCAGAGTCACAGCGAGCAGAGCACCAAGGAGATGGCTTCCACAGCCAGCAGTCACAATGTGCCAAGCCAGGCATTGAGCTCGCCTCAACCTGAGAACTTGGCACAACAGCATCTGCCCGTCCTGGATCTCTCCTCGTCCTCATCCACCTCCTCTACCTCTGTCTCCGTCTCCGTCACCGTCTCCGAGAAGCCCAAGAGAATGCTGGGCTTCACCATTGACGAGATCATGAGCAGATAGATTGATAGGACAGCAACGAGTCACAACACAACCTGGTTTCTGTTGATAGAGATTCAGAGAGAGAATCGACCGACGCCGCCAGGCATGGGAAATGCCTGGAATGGAAAACCGAGTCCAAAAGCTGGCCAAAGGTGGAAACCGCTAAAGCCTCGCCAGCAGCACAATGCGCAGCGCCCCAGTGAGCCGACGTAGAAGAAGCTGTAGTCAAACAGTCATCCTCCGTGCAATTGATCATTGCATTAAAAGAATAGAAGAAAAACTAAACGAATGCCAAAGTCCAAATAGCAGAGGGAAAACCCTGATGAAAATCCAGGGAGAAATGAAAGAAAGTATCCTACACAAGAAAGACAAACAACTAAACAAAAAAACAATTCCAAAACACACACAATTGTAAACTAAATAAAATCCTAAATATAATTGTAAACTATATATAATATTATTATTATTATTATTGTACCTTATAGTTTGTAAATGTTATATTTCCATAGTTCAATCAAATCAAAACTACTGCTAATCCCAGACACACAAAACCTCAAGCCCAACTTGGTTATTGAAGAAAGACTGTTTTAATAATTATTGTATTTATATATTATTATACTTTAATAGTTGTAATAGATTACAATTACCCACATTTGAATAAATCAAATCAATCCAAGGATTGGTTAATGTTAAAAGAAACCCAGACAAAGTGTCATTGATTTAAAAGAAACCCTAGTGACTTGGCACAAAGATACAACGATCTCAAATATTGTCTTTAGTCTGTATATAATAGTTATGCCTATAAAATATATATACTGAAAACTATATCTAAATATATAAAATGGAAAAGTAATTTTCAAACTGAAATTAAAAGGTGCCTCTTTATTGGGAAATGGGATTTTTCAGGATTGTTTTTTATTCCTTAGAAAATATTAAGATAGTTCTTCAGCTTTGCTGTTATTATTTCTTAATTTTAATATCAGCAAATATAAATCTTTTAATCTTCAACAAATCTCCGTTATCTCTAGGCCAACTCCCACACCATTCTGGCTACTTCCCGCTGCCAAGATAACTCATTTTCGTTACCAATATCCCAAATTTGGCCATAAGTGTTGCCCATCAAACAGCAGCTGTCAAAATTTATTAACCATTGACATAACTCAGGTTTTATTATATGTAGATCTACATATTTTGTTTTGTGAATTTTTAAAGCAGCTCTATTAATTTTTTCAGGTTGCGCCGATTAAGAAAGCAGAAGTCGCCTTAAAAAAGGCCACAACTGTCGCAAAAGTTAATTTATGAAATCAAATTGAATTAAGTTTGTGACTTGATCATGATTTGGTTTTTGGAAATTTTTAAGGTGTGGTCTTTGGTATATTTATTGCATCTGACTTCTTCTTGTGAAATAGATTTGGGAACGTGCCAAATGGGCTTTGAAATAGGTTTTATTTTGAGGTTTTCCATTATTTTCAATACATATACCTTTGCCATTTCTCCTGAGCACGCTTCTTCCTTGGAACTGTCAATTTGAACAATTTTAGATTGTGATCTTTGTTTCGTTTGAAAATCGACCATGGAATTGTCTTTAATTGAGGCCTGAGGTCACTGCAGGGGAACCCGCATTATAAGGTCTACATCTGCCTCATTTGCTGCTCGATTTTCCACATTTCCATCTCCATTTTCTTGACTCCTACACCTTGATGACACTTGGTCTTTGGTTCATTGTCTTGAATTTGATTTTGTTTTGTTTCTCAAAAGGCAAACAAGGAAAGGCAAGCGGAAAAGTGCCAACGTATATTCGCCAATTGATGTCTACATTCGGGGTTTCCTTTTTTTTTTGGGCCAAGGATCTAGGACCTGACAAGTATCCGGGACGCGCCCCCTTCGTGGCACTGTCCAGTGTCTCCTGCTGTGGGTTTTGGCCAGAAGGCGCAGCAAGATCCTGGACAGGATTTGGGCCTTGGTTGTCTTATCTGTCCCCAGATTGGTTGGTCGCTCGGTCAACCGTAGGACTTGTGTGTGTGTGTGTGTTTTGCAACACTTCTCTGCGGGCAGTCACCGAGGTCGAGATTTACACACAAACACCAAAAAAAAAAGATACACAGACACACCTTGTGTCCCTATAATTGCACTGCGTACAACCAAAATATTTTGTGAAAGTCACAGCGGGGCGCAAGGAGAGGATCCTTCGAGGATGCTTCTTCCTGTGCCTGAGCTAGAGCTAGAGCCAGAGCCAGAGAGATTGATAGGTGTTTGTGTCCGCATGGGGTTGTGTCCTTTTTTTTGGGCCACAATTAAACGTATCGGTTCCGCAACTAGGGTGGCCAACTCTCGTATCCTGCGGCCAATGTCCTGGCCATTGTAAATTCTAGTGGGCTGGGACGTGCTGGAATAAAGTCGCCTGCCAAAAGTGAGCCATTTACTGACACAGGGGCATAGGATCTTAGTTTTTTTTTTTTTCTTGGCTCCTACCGAGCATGCAATTTTAATGAGCTGCCCCTGGGAACACGAGGAGGATCCTCGGTGCGTCCACAGGACACTGCCCATTGTCACAAAACACGTTCGCACTTGGCCTTGTTTTCTTTGAGAGGAAAGACCACCCAGTAAAGCCCGGGGATATGAAGTGACTGAGAGAGAGAGGTGTCCAATTAAAACGTTGCAAATCAATTTTCGGCATCGAATCGAATCGAGGACACGCTTAAAATGGCCGCTGACAAGACACACACCACACACTCTTGGGATGCCCGATCATTATGGTGCTGATGATGACAGCATTATCGCCGTAACATAACTTGAAAACTACACAAAACTCACACAAAAGTTGTCAAGTGAGCCAAGCCCAAGAAAAAAATGTTGAACAAAAACAAAAATATACAAAAAAAAAAAAAAGAAGGAAACTTGTCTCTCGTAATTGTACATTGTCTAGATTGTCAGCTTTTGGAAGTGGTTTTTGATATGCGCCGACACATCGCGGCATTGCCACTTCACCAGTTCCATTTCTAGCAAAAGCTTTCAGGTAATATATAATTGGTAAGAATAATATAATTGTTGAATGATGGTGCTTAGTTTATATTTTATGCAAGTTAAGAAAACAGCCATTTCTTATGGGGTCTCAGTAACTTGGATCATATGATTGCTTTTTGTATCTTTAGTGAGTATTAGATTCAAATAAATTCAAGAGTTTTATTTGCATGAGGTTTTCAAGAAGAAATTATGGGATTTTGCAGGGTAAAAATATATTAAAATATTACATTTTTGCTTATGTTATAGTAACGAAAATATTTAAAAAGCACTTACATGGAAGATCATGCATATTAATTGATACCTGTAAATAATATAAAAATGTATTAAAGTATAACATATTAACTTAAATATAATCTATTAAATATGGCTTAGGTTTACGGTCCCTGCTTATTAAATAGGTATTTAATTCAATTTTAGTATTACTTAATAATAATAATAATAGGAAAATGTAATAAATTCAAATTCTATGAAATTATAAAATCAGAAAACATTGATTATCATATTTCAAAGAATTGTTTTATGAATTCCCTCCCAAAACTTTCATTATAATTTAATAGTAAATATTTCGGAATCAAAGAAACTACCATGATTCATAGCTGTTATCTGTTATCAAAACGCTTTATGGTTACCAAGTACTTGTGCAAAAAACCACTCTGCATGAGACACACAAAAATATTTCATATCACACACACTCCCATAAACAATCCTCTTCACATATACATATGTATAAATGTCTACCCCTCTGTATTATTTGAACCCCCTTTTGCTGACGACGTCTCTGGGCGTTCTTCAAGCACTTGATACCTCGCACTCGCTCGTTGAACAATGTTGACTGTGTGGCGCACAGTAGTTGCATGTGTCACAATGTCGCAGCCTAATTGCACTCTACAAGCGTAGTTACTTAAGGAAAGGAACTCGGGGAAAAACTCGGCTGACAAGCGCCTACACTTACACTCCACAGACAGGGGGAGGAGAACCGAAGATACGTAGATACGTAGATACTTAGATACTGAGATACTCAGAGCTACGATCTGAAACACTTGAGTCTAGGAGGCAGGCACTCTGGGTGTTCGTTTTTATGGCCGACGCGTCGCCGCTATCTATCGACTATTTTGACACTTTTGTTTTGCCTAAAAAGGTGTTTTAAATATATAACTTACTTAGGGGCTAAATCGAAAATCTCAATCTCAACCGTAACACAAAAGCAACTGTGTCTGGGCACTGAGGAAAATAGTATTCATAAAAAGGGAAAATATGGAATATATTCGATTTGTTATAAAAAAAATTAGTACAAACAAATCTGATTAATTTTTAAATATTACGTGTTTTAAAGAACAAATACTTTAGAAGTTAAGCAACTAATATATATTTAATGCAAGTTGAAGGTTTCTTTTAAATGGAAAAATATGTTTAACACTCTGTATTCTTTTAAAAATAGTTAATATGTTAAAATTGTATGGAATTTATGAAATGTGTGTAAAAAACATATTTAAAATGGTTTTACCATATTTAAGGTCATCTAATATCCAAAATTTATTAAATAAATATATTTAAAATGTTAAGATTACGTTAAGAGGGGAAGGGATTATTTTAAAACCCATTTTTTGACTACCCATATATTTTTAGTAAAAAAAATATTTATGGTTCTAATTGGATTACATACATTTAAGGAATGGAATTGCCATAGGTTTCTTGATCAATTTTGAACTAATTCCACTCTAAGTACTTGCTGTTTTAAATTAGCTCCCTTTCGATACTCCTTTTTTCTCCTTTTTTTTCTCAGTGGTTGTCCACCAACAATTTAATCACCTGAGGAGGTGATTTCCCCTGACCGACCTGTCCTGGCTTTTACCCGCCTTATCGAAAGGGCTCAATCTTGGATAGAGCCAGTGCATTAATTGACACCTAGAAGTGGAAATCGTAACCGGAGACCCTCGAAGAACCCAGGAGACAGGGCACACTGCTGCTGCTGCTGCGGCTGTCAATTAGGTTGCTGAATTTATCACCGGGCACAAATCAGTTTGGGAAGGAAAATTGGTTTGGTTGGCTCCGAAAAAAAAGAAAAGGAAAATCGAAGCTAAGAGAGCGATCAATTCCATGGACAGGCCCACCTCGAGGGGACCTCCCATATGGGTTTATTTTTCGGCGAGAACCTAATTGAATTACCAGGGTATAAAGGTGATATCAAGTTAGTTAGTGACCGACCATTCTCCATGGTCTTTCTTTCTTTCTCTCTCTCCCTTGACAACTCTTTTGTTTGTTTGTTTGTTTTTTATACTTGTCCACTGTCTGTTTTATTTTTTATTATTTCATCCTCGTTCGTTTGACATTTTAATGCGCCCGCCTTGGCTTTTGTGTGTTGGCCACACACAACAACAGGGCC